CAATATTAATATTATATTTTTGAATGGCTTGGTTTCTGATATATTCAGTCTGGTTTTACCTTTTTGGGTCAGTGAGGTCTCACCTTTCAGCAACAGCTGGCCACAAAGATTCCCTTGAAGTACTTGTAGGCTGTACATCCCAATTGTTCCCCTACCAAATGACTCATTGTTCACCATATGACTAGAAGGCATACATTTCAACTACGTGGTGGTGCATGCCTAGTCATGATGAACATCTATTTTGGCCACACAACATATACTTCCAATTGTGTGATGAATTGTTCAGATAGCTAGTCTCTGCAGTCTTTATAAAGTCTCAAATCATCTTCCAATTCACATCTTAGACACCCAGGAAATGCTAGATGAATATTTCTGGCGAGTCAGATTCAGTCAGTGGGTCATAAGTTAGACACTGGTATAAACAGCAGGCATTCAGTTCAATTTTCTTTTAGTAAGAATCAGGAAAGGGAACAGCCTAGTATTATAATTACTCAAATCACTACAAGTGAAAACAAAATATAAAATATTTGTAGCTAAGCAATTTTTGTAAAAAAAATATATTTTTCCATATACATGGAAAAAATATATATAAAAACCCAAATGGTGAAGAAAATTGTTTTCTCTTCCCTAGGATTAGGGGCTAGGGAATGAAACTAGCAGGTTCAGAACAAAAGAAAGTACTTCTTCACAATGTGTAGTTAAGCCATGGAACTCCTTACCACAGCCAAGTTCACATGGCTTCAAATGCAAGTGCAGATATTCATGAGAGAGAGGAAAAAAAAAAAAAAACAAACTAAAAACCCCACACACTATTGAGGGTTATTAAGTACTCAGACATCATCTCTGCCTTGGGAAGTCACTAACTCATGAATTGCTGGATCCTTCATTCCATGAATGTTTACTTCCATGGCTTTAAAAGTTTGCTTTGATATCGTTTGAAAGAGTTTTATGACACATTTTTTTCAAGTGTCAGATTGATTTATTCATAAGAACAAAAGAATCAGCTTTTTCTTTCTCTTAACATTTTGATCATAATCTCAAAAGATAACTATCATTTGAATAGAGGGTGTGCTTGGTAAATGTTTGATTTTTAACTTGTTTGCTCACCAAATAAGTGGTGACATACACCTACTATATGGGAATAGAGATAAAGCATAAACTTCTGAAACTAAGCCTTCAATATAAAAAAAAGGAGTTTTTACACACACACACAGAGAGAGACTTTTATAAATATATATAAAAATATAAAAAAAAAGCAAAAAGTATGTACAAGTGTTTTGATTTCCTAGGAGAACAAGACTTGGAATTCCACTGCCTGTTCATCCACCTCCCTTGAATTATTAACCTCTGAGTCTCTCAGCCAATTACAACCAAATTTAATAGAGGTATAAGTAGATACTGAATTCCTAGAAGGTTTGTTGAAGTTGGTGGCTGGGTACAGGAGGAGCCAAGTTTATAACTACTTTCTCACAGAGTCTTAATTCAATCCCTTATCCTCTTAGGAAAGGCAGGAAAATAGTCAGTTTGCATACACGTAGCTAAAAACTAGCCACACTCTACATGTTTTCACCTGCCCAACAAGACAACTAGGGAACATGAGAAAAAGCTGCTACTGCTATTTGGGGGGGGGAAAGGAGGGGACAGAAAGTTATGAATTTGTCCAAAGAAATTCTTAAGCTGCAACAAGATAGGATGCATGCAAATTGAACTGTCCCATTCCTCCCCCCTTTAAAAAAAAAAAAAGAAAAAAGAAAAAAGGAAAAAAAAAGGGTACACACTTATGAAAGCATACTTGCAGGGAAACCACTGCAGGATCAAGATCTTTTGTTACTTGTTGAAAAAGGACAAACAAACAAGAGAATCAGTTTGCTGAAGTTGTTAAACTCATTATAAAGTTCCATGAAATAAGATAGTTCTAAATTATGATTTAATGTTTTATTACTGGCCACAGTAATAAAGTGTTAAATGTAGTTTAGATGATAGTATGATGTTGAAAAACAAAATCAGAATACTAATAAAAAACCCCCAATTCCCCCCTAAAAAAACTTTCTTAAAGTAATGCATTTTAAAAAATATATACCATTAAGTAGAAGAATAGAAAATAAATTAACATATTAAAATATTTAGCCTAAAAGTAATCAGATTTGTTTTTTCCTTACCAGATAAATGCAACACATTCTACTATCTGCATCTTAACACTCCCTCTTCAACAATAACAATGTATATTTAGGTGTATTTGATATCCTTGGCAAAGAGCCAGTACTTGGAAGTGTGCTGATATTAACTGATTGCCTATTAGCTTAAGTTACATTTTACAAAATATTAAAATGCTCTTATACTGTATTTAACTGTTCTGATAAAAATAATACAGCTCAAAAAAGCTCGGGGAGAGGGGATCTAAGTGTCTTTGGCATTTTCAGCAAGTTATATCACTTCAAAACAAGGAGCTAGATGTTTCAATAGCTCTAAGGGTATATGGAGACTGAATATGAAATGTGACTTCCAGAAATGATTTTAACTATCGCTTAACTTATTTGTCCCATCCAACCAAAACCTCAGGCAATGCGAAGGTGATCCATGCATCCACTACAATACTAAGTGACAGGCATCATAGGACTTTTATTTCATATCTGAGAAATATAGAAAAGGAACAGGTAGTGATTTCAATGGCTGACATTTAAGCTTACAACATTACATTTTCAGTGTTTGCTTAGTGCAGTTTTATGCATAGTTCAACATGCACATGTTATCTCCCCAGTGTCAGGGAGGATGAGTTACCACTTGCCAAGGAATCAGAGGGGATAAACTGTGCTGCTGAAGCTGCTGCTAGTTGCACCAATCCCTCCAATGGAGGACAAAAGATTACTATGTGGCTCAGAGAGTGTCTAATGTTTTAATCACCATCTGAAAGGTGCTGCAAACTGGTACTCCAACCTGTTGCAAGATCAACTTGCTAGTTAAACAATAACAGTGCAGTCTGCTAGCCACAGAGAGCATGTTTAAGAGAATTCAGAAAAACCTTAAGAAGAGACACACTTGGCTGTCTGAAGTAACCAAAGCCATCTGTGATGGCAGGGTGCGTGCCGTGCCCATCCACCTATGCTCCGTTTTCTAGATCACCTATCTCCAACCCTATCACGCACCTCTCAGTCATAGTATCACACTTGAAAGCAAGACACACAGTAAGAGACTGAAATATCAAGTTCCTGCATTTTGATGTGCCATACCAGTTTAAGTCACCAGCTAAGGTGTTTCCTTGTTATAACAAAGAAGAGAATGCAAAGCAGTCATGAACTGGGACTCTGAATACTGGTGCTTGCTAATTCTTGGCTAACACCTTTATCACTTGAGCTTCAAAGTCAGTACTATATAGAGACTGACCTGTGTAAAGGATAAAGACTTGACATGCTTCCTAGCCCGTTATATGAAAGCACAGTGTTTGCTAGGCACTGGTAGAAAACTGAAAATTAAGTTCTTGGACTCCATTCTTGAATTTAGGAAGGTAGTAAGATATACCTAGATACAAGAAACTAGCTATTCCCAAGAACAGGATAGTTTGTTTGATAAGACAGAGGGATACAACAGAAAGATTCAGTTGGAGAATAACACTGATTTATTTTACAAGGGGAAAAAACAGGGAAAGCAACTGTGTATGGATTGCCACATAGAACTGACAATAAAGCCAGTGAAGAACATGAAAGCATAAGCTCCTATCAATGAGCATTAATCTGAATTTACAGTTTCCGCAGTATCGGCCCAGAAAACTGTCCTTTGGGGTTCATGGTAGTCTTTGCTATTGGCCATCTTCCCCTCAAGAGGGGTTCCAACTTTAAAAAAAAAAAGAAAACCCAGTTGCCAACATTTCCTGTCTCAGAACAATCCTCTGTTCATGAATGAAACCACAAATGCTGTGTCGGCAGGGGATTACCCAAAGGGAAAGACCAGCCATAGATACCTCAGCATGATGCCTGCCTCAATATAGCATTAATTTCTAAATATATCAGTTTAACTTTGCTTTATTGTTCACTGAAAGTTCAAGAGCGTTAACAGCTCCCCTCTCAGCCCTTGGCAGTTTAGCGTAGGCATCTTCTTTTAAAGCACCACTTGGATGAAACTAAGGACATTTAGTTTAATTCCATATGGAGGGGAAGGGAAAGTACTTTTCCCAGGAAAATTTAGATCAGAGTAACAAATAGCAGTTGTGCCACCTGCACAGAAACTACATCATTTTTCAACAAAGGTTTTAACTTCCAAACTGTATCCACATAATGGATTCAACAGATCAATACCATATTTCATTTGAGATTTACTGTGATTATTTGCTTTGAAATGGGTTTGGGAAGATCAATTAAAACTTCAAAAAACTTGTCTTTTGACAGTATGACTCAGAACATTAAAAGCTTAATATACAATCTTTGTATCAGTTTACAACAGAATGCAGCAGCAGCAACACGATTACCAGCTTGATCTTGTTAGCATGAATATGAGGAAAAAACTATAGCATAATTGTGTCAACGTGACAGAGGTAACATATAGTTACAAGAAACAGCTATAATTTGCACAATTTTTGTATGCTGGCAGTATAGATAACATTTCTCCATTTGAGTAAACATTACCCTCCACAACATGAACTATTATGAGCAATTCAATCATCAAGTACAAACAAGTAGTTCTTCCTAAAGTGTCATCTAAACATTTTTTTCTTTAAGAATTTCAAATAATGAAGTTAACTTCCAGAGAAGATTACTTGTTTCTCTACTTGTTTTTGAATATGCAGAGAGGTAAACTGAAGTCATAGGCTTTTTTTTTTTTTTTAAGATCAACTTGGATATTCAAGTTTCATATATAGCTCTAGAGATTCCAGACTGTATTTACATTTCATCTTTGCATAATTTGTAATTAGAAATATATCATATGTTCAACACTGTATCTTATACAACTATCATTACCATCTGCAAAGCAAGCAGAAATTCTAGATTTTTTTAAAACACATACAATACCTCAAGTACTTTTTACAGGTTCTGAAGCAGAGATGAAATATCAGTTTCAGTTCACTAGGTTTTTCTTTTAAGTGTTAAACAGCATCTCCAAATACTTCACTCCCTCTTGTCTTTGTATTTGTAGCTGGTGGTTTGAACATGACAGAGTTGCATATAGCAACAAAAACTTTGAATCTGCTAAGAGGAAACCTAAATGACAACATAAGCATACAATCAAAAGTAGAAGCTTCATTCAAGTCCAACAGAACTGCACATAGGAAAGCAGTAGTTAACTACCCCAACACATCCCAAATCGAAGGAACAAAGTGCTGCAGAAGACTGCAAGAACAAGGCAGAAGCTGTAAAAAGGAGCTCACAGCAACCCGAGTGGGTGCAAGGGAAAGGCCACAGAGAGCAAGGTATAGCCCATTCCCTATCCGAGCCACTTGTGTTACTCACCTCCCAGATCACGCACAGTAGACACACCACCTACTCCCCTTACCGTCAACTAAATAGCCAAATCGTCAAGACTAAACCACCTCAGCCTGCTGACGCACACGCCCCTTCACACTCACCAGCTCGCGCCCCGGCGCCGCCCT